TCCCCCCCTCTCTCTAAGGTTTTTGAGAAAGAGTCTCACTCAGTAGTCCTGACTGGCCTGGAATTTGCTATACAGAGTAGGCTGTTCGGGAACTCACAGAGATTCCTCTGTCTCTTCCTCCTAAATGATGGGATTAAGAGAGTATACCACCTACAAATGATTAAAAAGCCAAGTGTGTACTCATAAACACACACACTAAATAATAAGTAGAACTTTAAAAATTAATTAATTGATTGAATAAATAAACTCTGGACTGCCTAAAGTTCCCGATTTAAAAATAAGAAGTATACAAATTCAGGCAAAAAATATAAAATTTGTAAAGGCTTGCAGAACTGCCTTTAAAAAAATGAAAAGCCATTTGTGTGTGTATACTCCAAGCATGGTACACACAAGTGGGTCAGAAGACAACTTTGGAGTCAGCTCTTTCCTTCTATCATGTGAACTCCAGGGATTAAACTCAGGTTGGCAACAAGTATCTTTACCTTCAAGACATCCCCCATGTCCCAGGATGGTCTTTTTAAGACAGAGTGACCAATTTAATATCATAAAACCTCCATATGTTAAAAATTACCAACAACTGAGCAGGGTGGTACACATGTCTAACCCTAATACTTGAGATGTAGAGGCAGGCAGATCTCAGTGGGTTCAAGGCCAGCTTGGTCTACAATGAGAGTTCCAGGATAGCCAGCACCATATGAAGAAAACCTGTCTTGAACTATGTTTTGTGTTAGTATTACTAGTTTTTTTTTTAGTTATTAAAAAAAAACTAGAATATATAATATATAATAGCAAAAGTTATTTATTTAGGTTTTTTTTAGTTATTTAGTTTTTTTAGTTATTAAAACATAGCTTTTTTCAGGTGCAATGGTATATGGCGATATTTCCAGTTAGGAAGCTGAGACAGGAGAATCATTTGGGTCCACAGAGTCGGAGGCCAGCATGGGCAACAGGGCTACAGCCCATTTCAAAAACAGTAACAACAGTTAAAAAGAAAAAAAAAGGTTGTAAGTTAAAAGTCTATTTTATAAGCATATTTTTAATACTAAGTTGTTGTAACTTCTTAATACAAAGCCAATACCAATCAATACTTCAGTCTACTGACTAACAATGGAAGATAAACTATTTTAAATACCAATCAGTACAGATACCAAAGAAAGAAACTCATACTTTGTCTTTGGTGAGCATCTCCATCTGCGTGCGGGTTGTTGTATGATGGTTTAACTGCTCCATCTCCTGGTCCAGCTTCCGCAAGCTCCTGTCCAGGTCGGCTTTCTCATTCTGGAGGCTTATTACCTCTGCTTTTAGGGTTTCTATGCTGCTATTTTTCTCAGCCTTGCTTAGTTCACGTTCCTAATCAATAATTAAAACAAATGTACATTTATACACTTTGTGCCAGAATTAAAATAATGACAAAGTGTAATTATTGCTAGCTTTGAAGCAGCTCTTTCTACTGTTTGAAGAATATATCATCTTTTTTTTTTTTTTAGTAAGCCCTCATTTTTACCACTAAAACCAAAAATTATTCCTAAGAGAAACAAAATACTACTTTCTGCTCATATCCAAAAGAGAAAAATATAATTTACATATGCTTTGGGAAAAATCTTATTCAGGTTACTGTACTATGCTGTAATGATAGAGAAATAGTAAATAAACATTGAAAGGTCAAACAGAAAGGAGAAATAAAAATTAGAAAAAAATAAGGAGAGGCGAGAGAGGTGGCTTAGTGATTAAGAGCACACACTGCTTTTCCAGAGGACCCAAGTTCAATTCCCAGCACCCAGGTCAGGCAGCTCACAACTGCCTTTGTCTTTTTCCAGTACTTGGACTCCCTTGTATGTAACCACACAGACACATGTACATATATGCATAAATAAAAATAAATCTTTAAAAATAAAGAAAAAGAAAAAATTTAGGAGAAAATGTATCTATGTAGATGGATTAAAAACTCTTACTCCCCCCACTTAGGTATTTATTAAGTTCCCATGTAATTCACTCTATTCCTTGGCATGCAGAAACCACGGTGTGATGTGGTCCCTCACTGGCACTTCCCTATCATGACAACACTATGATAAACTGTGAACTGAAGAAAACGTACACTGCAGTGAACAGTTACAAACAAACGTCAGTTTCCCTACGGCACGGAGGGGGACAGGGGTGTCCCATGCATTAGGATGCTTACTTTGAAGAGGAACGGAGATGTGAGAAGACAGAAGAGAGGAGGAAAATGGAAACCTCTTGAAGAAAATGGCCAGCAGAGTTTGTTTACCACAGGAAACGTGGTGACAAGTTAGTCACATAAAAACCTCACTGTGTGGAGACTGATTGGAAGAGTATTTGCCTTTTAACTTGGGTCAGAGACCAAGGTGCTTGTGACAATCACCTCAGGTGGCTGTGTTTGGGACACACATCTGTGAGCTACACAAAGAAGACTAAAGATGAAAGTCTGAGCACAGGTTTGTTTGTTTGTTTTTTTTAATTTTCTAGGTGATTCTAATTTTAACCCACCAATTTCTAGAATCCAAGAGCTGATAATCAAGGTATTTAAATAAGCTCACTTTATGTGGGATTACTAACTGAAGTGCTATAGTCTCAGGGTGAGCGATGGGCCTTAGATGTGAGACTGCTCAGTGGCCACTCGGTACGTGGGCAGCTTACAGCTTTCGTGAGCTCCTGGTCCAGCTCCAGAATCCTGTCCGACGAGCCCTCCAGCTGCTGCAGCTCGTTCCTCACGTGCCTCAGCTCGCTCTGCTTCTTGGTGAGGATCTCTGTCTTCAGCTCGACCATCCTCCCCAGCCCGCTCTTCTTGTCCCTCAGCTCATCAATCTGCCTCTGCTTCAGAGCTTCTTTGTCTGTAAGGTCGCTCTAAATGTCAGCAATGCACATGAGTGAGTCTGTCATTAAGCAACTGAGGAAACTTCCTTTTACAGTAAAACATACAATGAATAGAATACAGGAAATCATTTCTAAAACTGTGAAAAGCATCACCCAGAGGTGACAATTAGTAACTGAACAAACTTTTTTGTAATTATCCTCAAAAATTAATTTTACTTAAAATTAAACCATAGACCTATGCTATGCTTCTATTTTATCCTTATGGATTAAAAAAAGATATTTCTAAAAGTTTTTTTCTACTTAATAGCCTAAAACTCACCTAAAAATGCAACAAAATTGGGTTTACTTTAAAAGTTTATAGGATCGCTTAGTGAATCTGACACAAAAGACAGCAAACCTGGGTTTCAAGATATTTACCAAGAGCTGGCTGGCGGTTTTAGCTTCTCTTTCCTGTCTTTCTTTCACAAGTTCATGAAAATTTTTAATCTGTCTTTCACTGAATGGTCCACGCTCAAAACCATCCAATTCAAGATGTGTTGCTAAAGACTGAATTAATGAATCTCTAGCTCGGATATGTTCTTGATGACGATCTGCCTGTAGTTGTAGACGACCTTATTTAAAAAAAAAAAAAAAAAAGTTGTGGTAACAGTAGATTGATAGGCAGTTGTAAAAACTAACAGTGTAATCTTTATATCCTCTGCTCAGTATCCTCTAATGAACACTGTGTAAAACTGTCATATAGTCTAAACTGGTATACTAACATTGTATAATCCATCAGGCCTATCCAAATTCCCCAGTGTTACCTGCACTCATTTGTGTATATGCGTTAACTTTCATATAGCTTTTTTAACATTTAATTTTGTTGTTTAAGTGTATGTATATGTTTCTGTATGAGTCTGTGCCATACGTCAGTGAGTGCCTGTGGAGAAAAAATGGCATTACATCCTTGAAACTGCAGTCACAGGCGACTGTAAGCCACTTAGTGTAGGTACTGGGAACCAACTCAAGTTTTCTGTGAGCACACAAAGTGTTCCTAACCACTGAGCATCTCTCCAACCTCAGGTTCTCTATAATTTTACCCCATGCTATCTCATACATCCAAATAGCAGTGTAGATAGTAAACGGTTGCAACGCCATACGAATCTTCTTGTTCTATAACCATAAGCGTGCCCATCTTCCTCCTGTCCCTCCTCCTATCCACTCCCCCTAGCAACCGTGAATTTGTTCACGAGGTCCTCAACTTTGACATTTCAGAATATCATTAAAATGGAAGCACACTATACAGCCCTGCCAGAAGCCTCCTGGCCTGGAGACGGTTGAAATAAGACACAGAGAAGGACTCTGGTGTGGCTTTAAAGACTGATGGTCTCTGGACATTCTAGCTTCCTAACTACACTGAATGCTGATGATAGCTTCTAAAAAGTCCTAAACACTTTCTGGCTCTTTCTGAGGGTTAAAAGCTGCTGGCTTAGGTGATTGATTGACACCTGTAGCCTAATGGAGGTGGGGTGGGGCGCTAAGTAATGTAGCTATTCCTAGCAGAACTGTGCTGCTCTTTCAGCCTGCTAGCTGAAGTTGCAGGAAGAAAAAGGGACACTTTGAAAAGTGAATTTAGACCCCAGTCACTGAGCCACTGCCGAGGACTCAGCTGCCTCCCCCACCTCGAGCCCCCTCACTTCCCAATGATCCGTTCCCCCCCACCACACACACACACACCCGCTGGCCTTCTCCCTCAGCCGCCTTCCGCAGGCTTCTTCCACCAAGGGAGAGGAATCCTATCATACGTCCGCTATCCAGCACCTTCCCTCTTTCGAGCCCTTTGCTGGTGCAAGTGAGGGTGATGACCTGCCTCCTGCTGGCACTGAGGATTATATCCACCTAAGAATTCCACAGAAAAACGGCAGGAAGACCCTTACAACTGTCCAAGGGACCTTTGGTTAATGGTCTTAGAACCTCTTGGAATGTGCTCTGAGTAGCATAAAGTCTGCTTACTGTCAGAAGCAATTAACTGTTGACACATGGGAGACTGGCAGAATTCTATATTGCAGTTTTGACTATCAGAAAAGGACCTAACAGCAGTCCCACTATAAAAGAGCTTAATAAATACTGATATAATTTTAGGAATTCTTATAGGATCATCATTAATAATTAAGAAGTAATCTATTTGTCTACATAACATCACTACAAGACAATACATCTTCATAGATCTGCAGAGATCTGCTCAAAAGGGTGGGCTAATACCTAGTGACAGCTACATATGTAATAATAAAAGGAAAAGCATATTAATAACAAGAATCTTTCCTAAAATAATTTTTTCCTGGGCCTTGCCTACCAGAGTTCTGTCGTAGATTTTAATCTAAGGTGGTCATCTCAGGAAGATCACCTGCTAGTTATTAGCTTGTCCTATGATGGCTCCTGACACTGAGACTGGATGCTCTCAACGTTAACTCTGTGGCGATTCTTCATTCATGCAGAAAATGTATGTTCTAGAAGGGAAAGGCCAAGTAAGGTCTGTATCTCACCCTGCTCCACAAGCAGCTCTGCCCTTTCCTGGTTGAGGAGGCGCGCCTCTTTATTCAGCTTCTCCAGTTCACGCTGACAGTCTACCAAGCGCCTTTCTTTTTCCCTGACTGTTCTCTGGTGATTGTGATACAAGTCATTTAGTTGCTCATCAGTCCCTTGAAAAACCTGTGTCAAACCAAAACAGACAGCTCTAGTGTATTAATATGACAACCACCCCAACACAATGGAAACTTTGTTCAATATCCATTCTAATAGAGGTACCACGAACGTCAAGATTCAGGTTTACTTTCCCCAAAAATGTGGAAATAAAAGGGTTTAAATGCAATTCACTATGATAATCCCTGAATTTTCAAACAGAACAAAATTTATCACCACAAACCTTTTCCATTTTCTGTTCTAATTCACTGTTATCTTTCTCCATTTGTTTCTTTCGGCTATCCAAGGCTTTAATTTCATTATCAAGTCTCATTATTTTAGAGAGGTTGTGTTCAATTTCTTTCAGGCGATTCTGAAAGTAAAGGTATATTCTACATGAATGGAATCCATTCTGACTTACATCACTGACGAAGGGACATAAGTTATACACAGATCATTTAACAAGACACCACCATTTAATGCTAATACTAGCCTGTGAAGAGTCACTAGAAACACTATGTAGCATACTCAGGACACCATAAAGCACATATCTTGCTTTCAACAACTCTTACACAAGTCATTTGTTCAGAAGGCATTGACAGCTATGGTGTGAAATACCACATTTTAATTTTTATGCTAAATTGATAAGAACAGATTCTACACTTGATCTTAGAAGACCAAGAGGTGATTTATTATTATACATGTGTATGTGTTTATGCTAGATCTCCTGAAACTAGAGTCAAAAGCAATTGTGAGCTGTCTGTTGGAATTGAACTTGGGTCTTCCACAAGAACAGTGAGCCCTCTTAACTCCTGAGCCTTTAAGACAGGTTGTGAAACAAAGCTAATTTTAAGAACAAAATTCTTAAATGGCTAGTTTATTTTTTAATAACAATGATGATGTGTAAGACCATGAAAGGTAGCCTGATTTCTGGTTGAGCTAGGTTTGAAACCCCAGTGACCCAGCAGGTGACCCCACAGGGTCCCCTGCAAGGACTGTAGGCATTTGCCACATTCCCAGACTCAGGTTCCTGACCGGAGGCCACAGCCCTCCATAGATTTGAGTACTTTAGTCACATAGGACAAACCTTACTAGCCCCTCCACAGGTAGAGGGTGTGACTACAGGCCAGGGAGTCTGACAGATCTCCCTATTAATGAGGTACCTAAAGCCCAGAGGAGCGAAGCCAATTAAGCATTCCTTCGCAGACCCTCCTCCCTGCAAAAGGTATTTAACCTCAGGCCCACCCTAAGAAAATGGGGGTGGGGGTGGGGGGGGTGTACAGTTTCTCATCTACTTTCCGCCATAACAATAAACATCTTTGAACCATGAACGATTCATCAGGATCCACTGTGGGGAACAATGGGGAAGGTTTTCACCTATAGAGCCACTGTCTAATCTCCTGCAGAAGACCTCTCTGCGTTCCTAGCCATGGTGACCACCAACCCAAGCAAGCCAAGGGAGCCACCCCAATCAAGAACTCTCATCCCCGTGGGACACAGCCAGAGATTCTCTCCCTTTCTCCCCCTTCCACCATGGGCTAGTGGCCTCTACTTCATTCTCAACTCCCCCCACCCCCCAAGCAGCACCTGAAAGCCCAAGAGTCTGAGAACCAGCTGGTCCCGGCCACCTTTTGGCCTGGGGAATCCCAGCCAACCTCGGCAGTTTCTGGAGATTTCAGATTGCACTCCCCCACCCCTGGAGCAGGGTCCCTTGGCTTCACATAGCCTGACACCAGCCTGGCGGCCTGCATGGAGAGAGTACTGCATCTCTGAGCAGTGGCCCGAGCCTCGTGGTGGGGCAGATGCTGGACACACATTAATCCAACAATGATGACGATTCAATGCTGAGGCTTGGTCCTCGGGCTTTGTACATAATAGGGAAGCTTCCAACACTGAGCTACAGCCCCTGCCCTAACTTCTTCTAGTTCTAGTTGACACAGGACACAGGACACAGGATCTCATGTAGCCTACACTGACTTTAAACTCATTATGTAGCCAAAGACAATCCCGAATTCTCAATATTTCTGCCTCTCTTCACCAAGTGCACCAGGCATGCATGTGGTTAACAGTACGCACATAGGCAAAATACCCACACACATAAAAATAAAGGAAAAAATAAATTATACTAGTAATGTCTCATGTTCTATACACTAATGGGTACATAACCACCATACAAACAGGAACTTCCTTTACTTTGTTTCCTCCTATATCCTCAGAAGTGTTTAATGTTAGCTAAATGAAAGAGATTTGAGCAAAGTAACCTTACAGATAACAATGGTCAAATCACTGATAAAAGCCTACTGTGTTCCAGACAGTAGCAGGTGCTACTCTAAGTTCTCTCTGACTATAAGACCACAAACTAAGCAGCACAGTCAGAAGACTTAACCAACTTGGACAAAGCTGCATAGACCAGGCTGGTGTGGTAGTACACACCTGTAATCCCTGGGCTCAGAAGGGGAGCAAGAGAATTACAATTATTGTGGGTGACAAGTGAAAGCTCATCTCAAAGACTCAAAGAAATAAGAATGGACCAAACAAGACTGGGGGTAAGACTGGAATGCTGAACCTCCTTGAGCTTGCAGACTGAAACATGGATATCCAACACAGGAAGCACTGGGTAAATGCTACTGAACACTCTTCCTGAAGACTTTCTTATAAACCACAGGCTCAGCTGCTGGCCCTTCTTCAGGCTCTGAAAGAATGTAGACGAGGATCCCTTGATCCTAGACTAGGATTCTAAGGTCAGCCTGGGCAAATGGCTAAGATCCTGCCTCAGAGATAAATATAGAAAACCCAGAAGTAGGAAGAAGAAACAACCCAAGTCAAGAATGCATGAAAATGCCTTTTAAAAACCTGCTAATTTGTAAGCTAGTTAAAACAATGACGACACAGAGCTTAGAAAAATATACCAATTCACATATATATAGATGAATTCCAAATTCTGTACAATGTCAAGAACACCCTTAAAATTATAAAAATTCTCTACAAAGACCTATCAATATGAAATTTTGAAAAAAGAAAAACAACTATAACATCAGGTCTAGCTATGGCAGGGTTCAGCAGTTAGGACCTGTGCCAACCACTTACTCAAATCCAACCTCTCCGGGTAATGTAAAGACCGACTGTCTAAGCTGGGCTTGGTGGTGGCTCGCACCTTTAAGCCTAGCACTGAGTCAGAGCATAGAGGCCTGTAAAGGCCAGCCTGGTCTACAGAGCAAGTTCCAGAACAGCCAAGACTATACAGAAAGAGCCTGTATCGAAATGCCAAAATAAATAATAAATAAGACTGACCATCTAATGCAGACCTAAGACTTCAGTCAAAACTTAGTATCTCATAATTTTAAAGAAATATACATGCTCTCAAAGTTCATATAGAAATAAGGTATTTTATGAGGATGGAGACATGGCTTAGTGGTTAAGAGTAGCTTCACTCATAGTGACTCACAGTGTCTGTAACACCAGTTCTAGGGAATCAGACGCCCTCTTGTGGCTTTCACAGGCACTGCATGCTCATGGTGCACAGTCATACACACAGGCAAAACACTGACATACACAAAGTAAAAATAAATGTTTTTTAAAAGGTACGTTAGGCTGAGAAATGGTGGCACACACCTTTAATCCCAGCACTTGGGAGGCAGAGACATGTGGATCCCTGAGTTCCAGGCCATCCTGGTCTACACAGTGAATTCCAGGACAGTCAAGGCTTAAAAAACCAACCAACCAAACAAACAAACAAATAAGTAAGTATTTTAGGGATAAATGATACAACAGTGAGGGAGGGGCTTTCTTCTTAGTATGCTAGATAACAGCTATTGCACACCATGGTAAATAATATCAGTAACTAGTAGTTATGTACTAATAAATTGCTGAGAAAATAGATTGTAAGTACTCTTACCACACAAAAAGCTATGACATAACGAAAATGTTAATTAGCTGGCTTTATCCATCCCTACAGCAAACTCTTACATTAAATCATAGTACATATCATAAACATACAGTTTTAATTTGCCCGCTAAAAAAAAAAAACCAATTACCTTCAATGGCTCAAGTTCCTTCTCATAGGACTTGACAATTTCCTGTGAAGATGCTAATTGGGCTTCCTTACTAGTAATCTGATCTCGAATCTCACAAGCTTTCTCCTTATTTTGCTTCAGATATTTCAATTCTGTTTGACACTCTTTTACTTTCTGACCTTGTGTCTGACGTACCTGTCGAAGGGTATCTAGAGCTTTAATGTACCTTTGAAGATATGAAAAAAAAAGTAAAATTTCTAAGTAAATTACAGTAGAATATCATGCAAACATTAATATTACATTTAGAGTTAATGACTTAGAAAATGTTTATAACATCAGAACTAAGTGAAATAAAATTACATTTTTTTCCCTCGGATAAACTTTCACCATAAGAAAACTGAAAGGCTATATGCCTAATGGTTGCCACTTAGTGGAGTAGTGAGTGCTGACCCTCTTTGCTTTTTAATTTATTTTCTTATAAAATAACATCAAGGGCTGGAGAGATGGCTCAGCAGTCAAGAGCACTGACTGTTCTTCCAGACGTCCTGAGTTCAAATCCTAGCAACCACATGGTGGCTCACAACCATCTGTAATGAGATCTGATGCCTTCTTATGGGGTGTCTGAAGACAGCTACAGTGTACTTACATACAATAAATAAATAAAAATCTCTGGGCTGAGAAGCAAGTGGGGCCATAGTAAGAGGCAGAAGGGAAAAGGAAAAATAAAATAAAAATAAAATAAACTTCCAGATGCTGGGTGAACACAGAAGTTTGAGGGCAGCCTGGCCGATAAAACCGACAGAAACACACGGCCCAGACTGGGAGTGTAACTAATGCATGGTGTAGCACAGGTTCTGGGCACGAGGACCTGGCTCAAGCACAGCCTCACAAAATAAAACAAGACTAACCTCACAGGTACAGCACCCACACTTACAAACCTTGTTGCTGAAAAAATCTCATCGAACTTTTGCTTCAGAGCCTTCCCTTCACTTAAAGGCCAGTTGGAGTCTTCTTGGTGACAGAAAATAACATTGTTTAGCACAGACTTGGAAACCCCAAGACAACTTATCATTTCTCGGTCGATTTCTGCACATTTGGAGCTGAGACTGACTTTTTCACCATGCCTACAGAAAGTGAGAATCAAGGCTATTAGTGAAACGACCTTCAGAGGTTCCTACTATGTTGTTCAGTCTTTCAGATTTTTCAAGGTCTTATCTGAGACTCACCTCAAACTCACTATGTAGCCAAGAACAATCTTGAACTTCTGATTATCCTGTCCTCAATTCCTAAGTGCTAGGATTACAAGGCTCTGCCACCACCCAGTCTATGACATGCCCGGGCTCACACTGAAGACTGTATACTAGGCAAGCACTCTACCAATTGAGCCACATACTCAGCCCATGTTATTCTTCTATAAAAAACAAAACTGCCCTTTACATGGCTCATTAAATAGCCTCCTCACGCTAAGAAAACTCTAGGTGCTAGAAAGGCAGACTGACTGGTGAAGTGTTTGCCACCTAGCATGACGACTGGAGTTAATCCTCAGCACCCATGAAGAAGGCTCAGGTAGCATGTACTTGTAATCTCAGAGCTGAAGAGGCAGAGACGAGAAGACTCCTGGGACTCACAGGACATCAGTCTCGCTGAATTGGTAAGCTCCAATAAATGACTATGTCTCAAAAAGCAAGGTGAATGGCTCCTCAAGAACCATACCCAAAGCCAAAGCTGAACTCTGGCCATATGCACACGGGCAGGGAGGGGGGAATCCTTCCATGGTCAAAAAGTTCACTGATGAGGTGGTTATGCAAAACAGGTAGTTCAAGAAAGAAAGCAAGAATTCTGAAAAACATAAAAACATAGTAGAATGTTTTCTGGTCTATGTGCTTGTGTGTGTAATGTGTACACATCCGTGTGGGGGCCAGAGGGTAATCCAAGGTGTCTTTCTCAATTCCCACCTTTTTTTAGACATGCACTCTCTACTAAGTCTGGAGTTCATTGATTCAGCTGACTGCGAATCCCAAGATTTTCCTGTCTTGTTTCCCCAGAGCTGGAATTACAGCCACACATGACCTCATCTGACCTTTACATGGGTCCTGAGAATCAAACTTGGATCCTCACGCTTGTTTGACAAGTATCTTCCTAACCCTCACATTTGGGCCGTTAAATAATTCATTTAAAGCAGCCGGAGTGGAGGAACTGTGGCTGCCAAAAGATGGTATCAGATCCCCTGCAGCTGGAATTAAGGGGATTCTGAGTAGCTTGATGAACTGAGAACCTAATTTGGATCCTCTGGAGAATGCAAGCACTCTTAACCAGAGTCGTCTCTCTAGCCCCAATTTTCTACACTTGATCTTAGACAAAAGGATGAGAAGTGATGAAACCCACTTTCTAACCCACATTACATGTATTTCATTCACCTTTCCCCATCTGCTACTGACAATCAGTACAATTGTGTATGACTATTTCAAACTAATATATTTAAAATTCCAAGTAGGTGCCTGGTGTGGTGGCTCACACTTGTAATCCTAGCATTAGGGAGGCTGATGCAGGTGGACTGTTTTGAGTATGAGGCCAGCTTAGGCTGTCACAAAGTTTGCTAGCTGTAGTGGTGCATGCCTATAAGGTCTTCTTGGGAAGTGGAAGCAGGAAGATCAGGAGTTCAAGTCATCTCTGGATACACAGCAAGTTTGGGACCAACCTAGACTACACAAGATCCTTATCTCAAAAAACAAAATAAAACAAAAAGCCCCCCAAATATATAAAGCAAACTTTTGGCATTCTTTCTGATAAAGCTTACCTCCAAAATTTATACCCATTACAAGGTAGGACATAACTACCTCGATACACACACACAGAGGCATATCCAGCTACAACATCTGACTCTAACACACTGATAATAGTAAAAAAAAAATGATTACGATTACTTTTCTCTACTTGTTCATTTCTCACCTCACCCTTCTCTGTGTGGAACTAGCATCTATCCAACCTATACTCGAGTAGTTGTGCACTCTCAATTACAGCAACTATTCACAAAAGACATCAAGGCAATGGAATACTATCACTCAGTCTTTAACATGAGCACTCTGCATCTGGGATGCAGAGACAGCTCAGTGGTTTAGAGCATTTGTTCGTGCAGAGGTCCTGAGTTGGATCCCAGCACCGACATGGTGGCAACCATTGCAACTCCAGCTCCAGGGGAATCTTCTACCTGCTGCACATACAGACATACAGGCACAACATCCATACACACTAAATATATAAATGTAAAAAAAAAATCATTTTATTTCAAGATAAATAGTATAAAAACCTAAATGTTGATAGTGGGTAAGAAGACTGTGCATGTAAAGCATGGAGGAGACGGGAGCTCTACTCTGTACTCAGTTACACTGGGAGGAAGTGAGAACAGTCTGGTGTGACACTTGTCACCCCACTGATCACCAGGATTGATTCAGCTGACCTGGCTGACTAGGAGGGTGTCCCCTTCCTCCCCGACTGCTCCATGTGCGTCCCTCCCAAAGCTGCACTCAGTTGAAGAGGGCAAGCCTCCCTGAATAGAGGAGGACTGGTCAACAGTGTATGAGTTGCTGTACTTCTCTGCTTAGAACCTCCAAACAAGCTCTCAATTACACTGAGAATATAAAATTACTCCTGAAAAATAAAGTGGTGCACATCTTTAATCCCTGCACTTGGGAGACAGAGGCAGGTGGATTTCGGAGTTTGAAGCCAGTCTGGTCCACAGAGTGAGTTCCAGGACAACCAGGGATACGCAGAGAAACCCTGTCTCAAACAAACAAACAAAGAACAAACGTACGTAAGTCTGAGGTCAGATGTGAAGCTATATCCCTGTAACCCCAGGACTCAGGAGGCTGAGGTAGGAGCATTTCTATGAGTTTGAGGCCAGCCTGGGCTACACAGTGAGTTCCAAGCCAGTCTGAGCTAAAAAGTATGAGCCCTTGTCTCAAAAAGAAAAAAAAAGACTGTATCAAAAAGAAAAACACAATTCAATGGAAAGAAAATTAATACACTCCTCTAAAATAAAGCAACAGTTACAGAAAGGCTTCCAGGCCCAGAAGACCAATACAAGCACCTCTCCAAGTCCAAGGTGAGCACCTACCTTGTTCTAGTGATGACTCCTTCTAGGGTTTTGAACTCGGTTTTTTTACTTTTCTGACTGCAAAGCATAGACCTCTGCACTGCCACCACCTCTCCATTCACGTCTCGGAACTGCAGGCGGATCTGGGCTCGCACATCTGTTTCTTGAGCAACCTTTGATGGGACAAAGAACACCATCAACACAGCATCGGCACGTTTTTATCATGAAAGAAAGAGCACCGACAACCTTGCTTATCCAAAAAGGAGGGGGAAGCCACTAAAGATCTCATTCAAAATGAGCCATTTTTATACATTTTTCAAAATAGAGGAAGTATACAGCTTAACTGTTTTTTTGAAAATCATGCAGTTTTAGCAGCCTTCTTTGTTCAATGTTCAGTGCCCCTCTAGCCAATCAATCTCATTGTCTGTACACATTGTTACACTGTAATATATCCCACTTTCATAAGCACTAGTAACAATATCTAACAAAACCCTCCCTTACCAAGAAAACCTCTCTAGCTATTGCCCTCTTAGTTACAAAAAAAAAAGAGAAAAAAAAACATTTAAAAAAAAAAGATAGTTTTTTTTGATCACTGAAGCTGGTTTTGTCCAGGGCAGAGAATGGCTACAAATACCCAAACGCCCTATCACTTAACATATCGAAACTGATGGCATGCTGCTCTTCCTGATGTGTAAACACATTAGCTCCAGTATGCTAGCCTCAGGCCTAGAAGCCCCTCTCTTTTATTCATTTCCTATCGGATCCCCTGAGGTTTTAAACAGTAACTGTACTAAACTATGTGTCTATCAGTAATTCCTAATTTTCTTAACTCCAACCTCTCAATGGTACAAATATTTATTTTTATCAACTGAACATTTACTTTTTCTACAGAATACCCCAAACTTACATATTTAAACCAGATCCACCCAAATTTCCTTTTTGAGTTCCCCTATGACAATGAAAGGCAAAATGATCTCAGTGACTTGTTCAAGGACTTGTTCCCTGAAGGCAGTCCATGCTCCAGCTTCTGTCCTCACGCAGAGCATCAGCTCACCCGCTGGCTCTGCCCTCAGGTCAATCCCAGATCTGAGTATCACCGTTTCTACTACTTTACCGATGCCACCAATACATCTCACCAGTTTATTGCAAGCCTCTCGGTCTCTGCACCCCATCTTTGCCACTTACAGTCAGTCTTCTGTCAGCAAGACTGATTCCTTAAAACATAACTCAGATGGTGTGTTTTCTCTGCTCAAAATCTGTCTTTTTGGATTAGCAGCTGGTGGAGGATACACATCAGCAGGAACACACTTGCTGGCATCCGAGGCCCCACAAAACCTAACAGCTTCTAACTTTGACTGGGCTTTCTAGTTCTCCCTTCACTACTTACTCCCCTGAGTCCTTGACATACTCAGCATGTTTTCGTTTCAGGGACTCTGCACCCTACTAACACTGAACGGAGTCTTCCCCAGACTTCAAACAACTATCTTCCCCTTGAATGAATACTTAGAGGGGTTGCTTGCTATGCGGAAAAAAAAATTGTGGTTGTTTTTGAGACTGGGTCTCTCTATGTAGTCCTGGCTGGTCTGGAAAACACTTCAAGAGTTCAGAAAAAAACAAAAATAAATAAATAAATAAATAAATAAATAAATAAATAAAACAAAAAAAAAAACAACTTAGAGGAGCACTGATTGCTCAGGTTACAGCTGGTGGTGGCACCAAAGCAGTGGCAGAGAGTGGACAGGACAAATCCTGGATCCATTTTAAGGGGTAGCAAAGGCTGGCTTGTGAATTGGAAATGGGGTAAGATAAAGAAATCAATTAAGACCAATCCACAGATTTGGGCATGGTAAAAAAAATGTGGCTTATAGTATCTATAACTTAACTCAAGTTCCAGAGATAGAACCAGGCCTGAAAGCAAGGACAGGATATGAGTGTAGGGAACTACTCCTAACTTATGCTCAAGACAGCATACACTATGCACACATGTGTAGACTAGTTTGGTAGACTTTATTATTAAAAACTGAACGTCATCCGAGTCTTCTTATTTTTCTTTTTTTTTTTTTTTTGGTTTTTCAAGACAGGGTTTCTCTGTGTAGTCCTGGCTGTCCTGGAACTCACTCTGTAGACCAGGCTGGCCTCAAACTCAGAAATCCGCCTGCCTCTGCCTCCCAAGTGCTGGGATTAAAGGCATGCACCACCACTGCCCGGATTTATTTTTCAATAAAGTACACACCAAGAACATTAACTGAACAGAGTAGCTCATAGGCTTAGGAACGAGACCATATGAAGCAGTCATTTTATGGAGGGGGTCCAGTGATATACTAAGCAGTATGACTATTTTCAAGATGAAATTCGTAATTAGTTTTATAATTCCAGCATTATCTTTAGTCACAGGAAAGTTTAAAGTTACATTAAGCATTTTTTGAGGTTTGATTTGTGTACTAGTTAGGTTTTATTGCTAAAACACTGACCAAAAACAGTTTCGGGAGGAACAGGTTTATCTGGCTTATAAGTTAGTTTCTTTCATCTCAGGAAACCAGGGCAGGAATGTGGAGACTGGAACTAAAGCAGAGACCATGAAGGAGTGCTGCTTACTGGCTGTTTGCCCTGGCTTGCTTAGTTACCTATCTTACACAGCTCAGACCTACCTGCCTAAGGTACCTGCAAGGGGCTGGGCCCACCCATATCAATCAGCAATCAAGAAAATGCCCCACAGACAGCCTCATAAGGCCATTCTGATGGAGGCAATTCCTCAATTGATGTTCCCTCATTCTCAGGTATGTCTAGGGTTGTGTCATCTTGTCAAAAATATGACAAGTTGGCTTTGTTCGTTTGAGACAGGGTCACATGTAGCCCAGTCTGGCTCTGATCTCCCGATCTTCCTGCCTCTTATTTCTCGAGTGCTGGATTACAGGCAGGTGGCAGCATACCAAGCTTACATAAAAGTTTAAAGTCACATTTAATGATGCTACTTAAATAACTTATAGGTGGCTGGTTAAATAAACTAGGGCTGGAGGCAGAAGCAAGTCAATCTCTGTTAAATTCAGGTCAGCCTGGTTCACATAGCTAGTCTCGGGTCAGTCAAGACTATACAGTGAGACTCTGTATTACAGCAAATAACAATAACCCCACAGGACAAAAACTCAACGAAATATTAACAGAAACTAAAAGCACCAAGAGTGTGTATGTATTAACAGATACACAGCATATCACCTACTTAATTTGTATAATAAATAAAATTCTGATACACTAAAATATAAATGTGTAAGTGTAATTATAGATACACAAAGACATAGTTTTACAAGCACAGAAAGAATTTAACAACTAACACATACCTTACTGGGATCTAGTGACACTACAAAGATTCACATTCTTGTTGCATATCAATAAACAACACGAGAACCCGATAAGGCAAACTTAATGTGCTGCATACACACTAGAAGTAAAAACATCACAATCCAAGCAATGCTTCCCAAAGATTTTCGCCATGGTAGACTGTAGTGAAAAACTAAAAGCAATCTAACTGCAAATAATACTGCAACTAAAAATGATATTTATATAGCACCACAAATTTCAACTAAAAAGACTTCAGCTAAATTTTAAAGTCTAAAGATTGAAATATCCCATACACCAAGATTAAGAATTCATTATAGTAGTTTTTGCCCTTTTTAAAACTTCATTATTATTATTATTATTATTATTATTATTTGTGTGTGTGTGTGTCTGCGCACAAGCACAAGGTCAGAGAACAACCTGTGAAGTCAATTCTCCCCTTCTACCTTTACAAGTTTGAACCCTGGCTTGCATAGCAAGTGTGTCTACCGGCACTTGTCAGCCCTACTGTGTTTTAATAACCTCATACTGTATGACAACACTCAGTGGGAAAAACCCTGAAATGTATCATTAGATAGGACTATGAGCTCTGCTGGGTAAAACAGTCCATAGAAAAATAAATAAAAATACCAACAATGGCTATCACTGGGTGCTTCGACGTAGGTGACCTTCTTCTCTGCATACTTCCACTCTTAGGTCCTCTACAATAAGCAACTAGTACTTTTAGAATTATAAAAATTTAATTCTTAAAATACAAAACTTGACAGATACCATTACCTTGGGATCATGAACAAATGTATTTCCTTTGGTTCCAGGAGGGAAATCTCCAGTACAAATATACTTTAGGCATTCAATGATGGTCTAAAGAAATAGAAAGTTGTGTTATTTAGTTATGAGAACCACAGCAGTTTATGACAAATATTAATTCACAGCCAGGTGTGGAGGTGCAGGCCTACAATTCTATCACTTAGAAGGTGGACGATAAGAAGATCAGAAGTTCCAGGTCAGCCTAAGCTATGTGGAATGCTATGTCCAAAATAAATATATAAAATAATAGCAAAAGAAATACATATATATGCAGCTAGTGAGTATAAGCACTTTATTATGTCTTCCTTCCAGACTAAGAACGTACCTGGTACAATGTCAAGTAACATTTCTACATGGTCCATTAAAGGTCCACCTCCTGGCATTCAACACCCAACTTGGTATTTCTGGCTACCTGGCAACTCATTATGTAGACCAGAGTGGCCAGAAATGGGCATGCCTCTACCATTCTAGGATTAAAGGAGTGTGTCACAACGCACAGCTCAAATTTTCAGAAGTAACAAAATTTCCCAGTGTTACTCCATCAGCTTCATGTTCACAATAAGCCATCTTTTCCATTTGTTATGTTTTACCAGTAAACATGTTTTGCAACTCTAGGTTACCTGTTTCTCATATTTAAAACCCTTTTTTTTTTTTAGGGGGGGAAGGTCCAGTTGGGAACAGGTGGCGAGTGACTGCTATGCTTCCGGAACAAGGGGGCGGGGCCGGGAAGCGGGGCGCAGACGGCTTTCCCCGGGAAGTAGTTAACTAGAGCGGAGCGTGGGCTTCCGACACCCGAGAGGCTGGGCCGGGCCGGCTCTGAGGTCCCCGAGACCCACGCACCACACAAGGCGACGCCCTAGACACATTCTGGGGCTCTCGCCTCAGGACTTACCGTCTTCCCCGCCCCATTGGGTCCAACCAAAATTGTGAGGGGGCTGAAGAAAGAGATAATCTGCTTATCTTTATCCTCTATCCCAAAACTTCGCACGCCCAGAATGCTCATCTTTTCGATCCGGGACATATTTGCACCACGTTTCTTATCTCAGTGCCAGGGACGAATTTAACCTCGAGGCGGAAGCTGGGCAAGCCGGGAAGGGACGCTGCGAGAGGACACGAAAGGTCCGAACGCGAGCTGCGAGCGGGAGCTCCGGCGGCGAGAGCACTTCCGGTCCCGCGGGCTTCTGTTTCCCGGGAGGCGCAGGTTCAGCACTGCACACCCAGGAAAAGCCAAGCTCGCCAGCAACCGCAAGCTCGCAGATTCCCGCCTCGCTTGACCTGGGGTCACGTGGGGGCGGGCGCGTACTTGTCCACGCCTCTCGCACGCCCGTGGCATGCCGGGAAGTAGGGTTCCTAAGGTACACGAGCCGGTCGACCTGCTGCTGTTTCTTAAAGGTTTAGCGGGGCAGCAGCTACCAGCTGTCACTGTTTGCTTTGGTGTTTTGAGATCCGCTCTAGCTCTGTAGGCTCGAACTTGCAGTTCTTGTGCCTCAGTCGTCCGAGTGTCGCTATTACACAGCCTCCTAGCCCGTTTGAAAAGAATAAGTAGGGAAGACTAAACTTTACTGTCCACATTTGGATCCCTGGACTGCAAGAAAGGGTGGGTTGCGGTGCATTTGCAGACCCAGTAAGTGGTTTGTTAATGACATCTACTGTACAGTAGAGCTAGTTAATGCTTACATAGGCTTGTGCTGAGATCCTTGCAGAGCTAATGGCTTTGTGAGCTGGAGAGGTGGCTCGGCGGTTAAGAGTACTTGTTCTTGCAGAGGACCGGGGTTCAATTCCCAGCACCCACCCACATGGTGGCCCCCAACCATCTGTAATTCCAGTTCCAGGTGATCTGACACCCTCTTCTGACCTCCTTGAGTACCAGGCATAGACATACTGCACATACATGCAGGCAAAATAAAGTGTGTGTGTATAGGAGTTTTTTTTTTTTTTTAAGTTTTGGCACTGTGCTATTAGTAATATACACATGCCTCCACCCTCAGCAATATTTAAAAGTGCAAAAGGAGTTTAAGACCAAAAGTTTGGGAACTGATACTGTAGACCGAAAACCAGATGCTGTTCCAAGACAGAGTTCTCATAAGTAGGAACATGGTCACAAGTAGGAATCAGGTAGGAAAAGGGCTGGCTGTGGAGGCTCAAGCCTGTAATTCCAGCACTTACGTGAGTGACTGAGACAGGAGGATCGACTTTCACTGTAAGCGTGGACTAACAGTGAGATCCTGTCTCATACAAAAATAAAAACCTAGCCCAGAGTGCCCGGCCCTGATCATAGATCTAAAGCAGAACTCCTGAACCTAAAGCTCACAGAACATGTCAGAAGGGGGGACGAAAAGATTGGAAGAACCAGAAGTCCAGAAAACCTTTGAGGTTGTGTCTCCTAGAAATGACAAGGAAATTTCACCCATGATACCTTAGCAATATGGCTGCCTAACCAAGACCTGAACAAGGTCATCAGTAGACATGCTGACAAGAAAAGGGAGACCAACAGAGAGCTACAATGGAATTAACTGCTGAGACGAGAAGAGGTGGTCTTTTCTGGTGAGGAGTTGGTTATCCAATACAAAGTGGTTAGCCCTGAAATCATATGTGTACAAGTAACACTAGCCAGCTAAGTAGATTATGTTCATATATAATTGTGTGTGTGTGTGTGTGTGTGCGTGTGTGTGTGTGTAAAACAACAACAAAGAGGCCATGAATTTGAGAGAGAGCTAGGGGAGGCAGAACATAAGAGGGGCTGGATGGAGGAAAGAAAAGAGGAAAATTATATAATTACATTTTTTTTTTTTGGTTTTTCGAGACAGGGTTTCTCTGTGTAGCCCGGGCTGTCCTGGAACTCACTCTGTAGACCAGGCTGGCCTCGAACTCAGAAATCCTCCTGCCTCTGCCTCCTAAGTGCTGGGATTAAAGGCGTGCGCCACCACCGCCCGGCATATAATTACATTTGAATTCTTCTGTTGTCCTTTTGTGACAGGGTCATACCGTGTAATTCTGGCTGCCTGGAACTCATTATGTAAGCCAAACTGGCTTCAAACAGAGAGAGATCCACCTGCCTCTGAGTCCCAAGTGCTGGGATCAAGGGTGTGTACCACCACACTTGGCTTTATGCTTTATTTTTTTAAAAGAAAAAGAAGAAGCCAGATAGATCTGGTGAAACAGGCCTGTAATCCCTGTTCTAGGGAAGCTAAGGCAGGAGGATCACTGTAAGTTCCAAGCCTGCCATGGCGACAATGAGACCTTGTCTCAAAAAAACAGAAAGTGAAGGAAATTCGAGGGGCTCAGGGAATTCTGAATATAATCCTTGAAATCAGGAGACAAGAATGCTTATTAAGTAATATTTATATGATGATTAATGTCTTTATTTTAAGAAGACCTTTGAGATTCATATATATTATTAGCATGGTAATTAAAAATATTTTATTAACCTTTTATGTATGTATATGTTTATGTGCACATGTGGGGAACTAAAGAGTGTGTTAGGTCCCTAAGGTGGGTGCTAGGAATTGAATTCTGGACCACTCTGGTACTCTGGGAAAACAGCATGTGAACCTCACGTAAGCATGCACAAAAACACGTTTTGAAAAAACACATCAGAAAAAAATAGTTAACTGAAAAAAATAATAGACATGTCATGGTAGTTACAACCCATCATTAAAAAAAAAAAAACTACCTTGTAATAGTAAAGATTTTCTAGTCAAAATGACAAAAAAAAAAAAAAAAAAAAGAATTATGGCTCAAAGTTCCAATCACCAAGTCCCCAATTCTCGGTAAAGCGCTTCTGGAAAACCTTTGGTTTTACTTAAACCAAAATTAATGTGATGAGGAACCGGGCTGCCGTGAGATGCTATCTTACGTCCACAGGAACCTATGCATCTTTCTAATCCTTTCTGATCGGTTCTCTCCATCCACACTGCTAACTGAGCTATCTCTTGCCTAGACTTTGTTCTGTTTTCTTTGTCATTTACACTGAGTATCTTTTGAAAACAGATGGCAAATGTCTTCAAGACAGTTTTATGCTGTGTGTCTTTTTAATGGGTGAGCTAGTTAACTTGTCTGAGATTAGATCTCCTGGCTTCTGGTCAATTTGGACTTTCCTATTTCATATTGTGCCTTGTGTCTCTTTTACTTCTTCTAGATTTTTTTCTAGATTGGTTGAACATTTTTATTCTTTTGTTTTAGTACCTGAGTTAGAAAAAATTTTTAGGCTGGGCGGTGGTGGTGCACGCCTTTAATCCCAGCATTTGGGAGGCAGAGGCAGGCAGATTTCTGAGTTTGAGAGTTCGAGGCCAGCCTGGTCTACAGAGTGAGTTCCAGGACAGCCAGGGCTACACAGAGAAACCCTGTCTCGAAAAACAAAAGCAAAAAAAAAAAAAAAAAAAAAAGAAGGGGGCTAGAGAGATGGCTCAGTGGTTAAGAGCACTGACTGCTCTTCCAGAGGTCCTGAGTTCAAATCCCAGCAACCACATGGTGGCTCACAACCATCTGTAATGAGATTTGATGCCCTCTTCTGGTGTGTCTGAAGACAGCTACAGTGTACTCATAAATAAAATAAATAAATCTTTAAAAAAAAAAAGAATTACATCTACATTCTAAAAAAAAATTTTTTTTAGAAATTTTATTTTAGAAATTCTACTTAAAAATTTTACATGGCTATTTTGACATTCAAAACTAATCATTTTAGGACCTTCATTAACGTCACAAGAACTATTATGTACAATTCCTATCACCTCCTCCATCATAGAACTCTTTCTAATTCTTGTGTCTTAAACACTGGCACAGTGAGCTAAATACACACACTGCTATTTGGTTTTACCAGCAGTTATCAAACTGTTTATCAAACATCAGCTATCAAATAGTAATTGCTACTGCGTGCGTCATCCCCTTCCTTGAGACATCTGTCACTCTCATTACATGAGCAAAAGTCTTTAAAAGTTGTGCTGGGGTCTAGGGATATCACTAGGTTGTTAGAGTGCTTGTTTCCCGTACACAAAAACTCAGGTTCAATTCCCATCACCACATAAACCAGATGTGCTGTACATACCTGTAGTTCCAGCTTTTGGGAGGCAAAAGCAGAAAGATCAGGAGTTTGGGGCCATCCTTGGCTACAAAATGAGTAACCAGGCTAGCCTACATGTAGCCTTGTCAAAAACAAAACAAAATAGTGCTAGTGGATTTTACATTTTAAAAATTCTCTCTCAGTGCTTGATATCAGAGTTACTATTACTTCTGTGGAAATGCATTATGAATTGTGAAATATTAAGAATACAAGGGGGTGGGCTGGAGAGACAACTCAGTGGTTAAGAGCACCGACTGCTCATCCAGAGGTCCTGAGTTCAATTCCCAGCAACCACATGGTGGCTCACAACCATCTGTAATGGAATCTGATACACTCTTCTAGTGTGTCTGAAGAGAGCAATGGTGTACTCATATACATAACATAAATAAATAAATCTTTAAAAACATTTTTAAAAAAGAATACAAGGGGGTAGAATGAATAGAAGCAAAGTATAACTCTGTGTGTGTGTGTGTGTGTGTGTGTGTGTGTGTGTGTGTGTGTGTGCCAAGACAAGACCCTTTTCTTGTATGCTAACTTTAAAAACATTGAAGATACAAGAGATTTCTTCTTTGTGCACTGGATATTTTCAGAGGCTGATGTGGTGAAACGCATCAACAATTATAGAAATGATCTTGTCCATTCATCAGCATAAGGAAATGTTTTCTCAAAAATTCTAAAAGAACTTCTGGGCTTGGTGTACATGGTTATAAACACTAGGGAAGTGGAGGCAGGAGGATTGTTTTGGAGATCAACCTGGGTTTTATAAGGGGACTCTACCTCAAAACAAACAGCTGGATACAAGAGGATAGGGATGCTTGGGATACTAGTACTAGCACTCCGGGGGGTGGGGGCAGAGGCAGGAGGATTGCTGCGTATTTGAGGCCAGTCTGGCCTACATAGCAAATTGCAGGCCATCCAGGGCCACATCTCAAAACACCCTGGCAGCTTGGGTTACATGAGTCCCTGACTCGGAGACAAAAACAAACAGAAACACCAAACCAAACAAGCACAAATTCTACACGGAGCTTTCTGATGGTATTATTTAAAATTGTGAAATCCAGTGCTGAAATGCAGCTGTCCACAATCGAGGGCTTCTGGCAGGGAGTGAGAGTGAGGAGTCAGTTGTCTTTAAG